TATATATATATATATATATATATGTAAATATACGTAAATTTAAAATACGCAACGGAAAAAATGTGTAACGGCCTGTAAAAGTGCCGAACGGCACCTGTTCCATGAAAGATGACACGGGTAATACGTGAATACGGCCCTGCTTTTTAACGTATTAGGTTAAAAAGGATCTACCATATCCATCGAGTCCCAATGAAAAGAGAAGGAGAAATAGGAGTGGGTGGGTGCGATTGGAGGCTCGGTCCCGAAGCTGTTCCCCCACTCCGTGAAGAAAGCAAGGGGAGTGGGGGAAACAAGGAGTCCGCCGGGGCCCTTGGGTCCTCTCGCTCTCGAACTCGCTTTCAAGAAAGAATGAAAGAGAGAGAGAGAGAGTGAGAGAGTGAGTGAAGAGGGCAAGGGGGCAAAGGCACATTCCAAGGCAGAACGAAGCTGGCTGTGAAGGTGGAAGGCACCAACGGTCTCTCACGTTATACTACTCTCCTCGACTAGCCTTTATTTTATATTATCCCTTCCTCTCTCTCTCTCTCTCTTTCTCTCTCTCATATTTTCTGTTTCTTTCTTTCTTTCTTTGTTTCTCCGTCAGTTAGTTCCGTCTATCACAGTGGAAAGAGATATTTTTTGTAGTTGTTGTTTCTGTTTGTTTCAAGTGAATTCGCGAGAAAGATCAAAGCTAACTCGAGAAGATATTATGGTGTACGTTGAAATGGTGATGATGGCGGATTGAAAACTTTAATAAAGGAAACTTTACACGCGACTCGCATGTGTGCATGATTCTTTCATTAATTCAATCAAAAGGGGAAGAACAAAATTTACATCTACTTCTTGTTCCTTTTTCCATTTAAAAATTTCAAACGAAGGAAAATAATAACGCGTCTTTTTATTTGGGTGGACACGAGAAGATGCCCTCTTCGGCATTAGCCAGAGGAAAGCTCATTCTTAAGAAGAATAATAATAACGGGGAGGAAGAGGAAGAAGAGGAGGAAGACGACGAGGAGGGTGTCGAACGTCGTGTCGAAAATAGAACGTTATTTCGACTGAGGAGGATACGTTCGTCGAGGTTCGGGCATGCGGAAGGTATCATCTTCTGCTACTTCTTCTTATTCTTCTTGTTCTTCTTCTTGTTCTTTGGTGGAAACGACGATCGAAAGGAATTCGATTGGGAGGTCTAAATCGTTGAGATTGATCTTTCGCCAGGTGAGAGAGAGCCACTCCTTTATTTTCAATTTTTACAATAAATCGAATTACCGGACAGGAAATATATTCGTGACATCTAATTCGAATTTGAATTACGTCAAACAGTTAGTGATAATTCAATCTTATCTGATTTGACAAATACGACAGAGTATTTTTATTTGTAATATCAAGATGCAGTTGGGGGGGGGGGGAGAAATAAATTCAGGAATTGTTGTAACCATCAGTTCTTAGGCTTCTTATTGTTTAAATGTCTTTAAAAAAGGGTGACAAGATTTTCTTCCAAAGTTTTTATTACCTGTCTCTTTCGAAATCCGAAATAATCGATCAACTCTAACGAAATTTCTTTAATAGAAACTTTCGCTTTCACTGACCACGTGTATTTAAATACGACATTTGCTTTCTCTCCGAGGTTTACACGTTTTTTGGGATGAATCTATAATTAGTTTCGGCTGATCGTAAAAAAATATTATTTCTATTTAGATATCAGCATGTCTCAGGGCTCGTCGTTGTCGAACGATTTGGACGGGACGATGTGCGATTTGGAGGGAAGTCAACAACAACAACAGCATCCTTGTCAATGTTCAACGATGAGTGGAATTAATTCAATAAGAACGCAACGAGATAGAACTGATAGAAGCGTCATGGGAAGTACGAGAATTTCTAATAATCAGGAACTACCACGAGGATTGGAAACGTTGCAGAGTGCATTCGAACCTTTGAGAAGATTGGACAGCCCAATGTCTCATCAGGAGGCAAGAAGCGTTGAGATTATGGAGCATCAAAACACACCTTTAACGCGACACGCTAGAAATGTTCCCTGTAGTCCAAGAAATTTAGATCTTTCGCGAAATCTTGCCTTCGAGGCAGCGAGAAGAGTTCAGGAATCGTCGAGTTTGCAAGAAAGTCGACAAAGTTTGACTTCGAGTCCTAGTCATCTATCGGATACCAATCCAAATCCTATGGAAACTTCATTGTCGTCTAAAGAAACGTCGGAAAAACAATTGGACGATCCATGTGGTTTATCACCTAAACAAAATATTTCCAAGGATAAATTGAAAAATATTCAACAAGTATTGAACACTTATCAGCATCATCGAATACCTATCAGCGGGGAATCTAATACGCCTGAACGAAACGTTCATGGACATTTTCACGGTGATTCTCACGTGCATTTACACAAGCACAACGTCGATAACACGTCGAGAACTAATGCGAATTTAGAAGCAAGCGAGGGTCTTAAAGGATTCCAACAGCGACAACAACATAGCCATCATCATCACGGAACACCAAAGACCTCGAGCGTGACTCATCATCACGGGTCGGCGATGATACACCATGCGGGGGGACACCATCATGGAAATCTTGCTGCCGGGTTGGTCGGTCATATACATAGTAACCCTACAACGAGTTTAAGTGGATCTGGTAATGGTAACCCAACGATTAATCATGGAAATACTGTGACCGGTAGTAATAATTCAAACTCTCATCATCACGCAAATCCTATCGCAGCGGGTACAAGTACGACAACTATGACAACGACGACGATTACGATGACGACAACTACGACGATGATGTCCGCGGTAGCTGGGACAACAACTACGACATCGATCATAGGACAAAAAGGTTCACCTTTGACGAGTCATCGTCATCCAACCGTGTCGAGTGCAATGAGCGGTACGTCTTCTAACTCGAGCATGATGAATCACGGTGGATCACCAAGTGTACATCGGCACGTCTCGGTAAACGCGAGTGCGAGTTTGTCAGCAACCCCATTAGTTGCCAGACATCACGGCAGCAGTTCGACCGGTAGCTTGACTGGTCGTTCGAGCGTCAATCATCATCACGTGAGTTCTGGTATCTCTTGCGAATCTTCCTCGTCGAATGCGAATACCAGAACTCACAGCAGGTTAGATCACGTTCACGATCACCATCATCTATTGCAACAGGTGCATTCTTTACACCCTGATTCGAGATCGAGAGATAGAGCAGCTTCATTGGTTCATCCACTCGACGAACAACAACATCATTCTCATCATCATGGACACGTTCATGCACATGGTCATCCTCACTTGCAAAGCAACGATACCAAAAATTCATCCCTGATAAGAATGGACGCTATTCAGGTTGATATAAATTAAAGCAATTATATTACCTTCCATTAATATTCTAGTATTTGACGACAGATAAGTTAGATTTATAAAATCATCTTCTCTTTGTATGATTTACACGATTAGGTGTCAGCACCGTCAAAGAGTAGCAAGTGTCAGTGTCATGCGGTACAACAGGGTAACAGGAACAAGAGAAATTCCGAGGGTGAGACTGACGACAGTGGTGGAATAGTCGAAGTAACGTCAAGAACCCATCAACCACCGGCTTTACCACCACGACCACCACCCAGACCAACCAGACGTTATGAGACAGCATCCGCCGATCAATGCAAGTATTTTGTTTAAACTGTTTTCCTTTTAAAAATCCACCTACCTTTTGACAACCCCTGAAGCAACATCCCTTAGAACTTGAACAAAATACCGTAAGGGCTCGCTACGATCTCCCGAGTTATATCGACCAGTCGTAGTTTTCAGCTAACCGAGTGAAGGACGACGATTCGTGTCGTCGAAAGGTTTACGCGAAAAGGAACATCATCCGACAAACGTTACTTTCTCCTGTTTTAACGCGATTAACAAAATTACGGGATTAAAAAGATCATTTGTGTAAATAATTATCCATGACCCTCGGGAAAAATATTTCTATTGAAATACTTTCAGGACTATTATACGTGTGACATATGCCGATCACCACCACCTGTGGGACATCTCCTCAACGTGACAAGTACCCCAACTTCCTACCCCTTTTCCTATTCCCTTACATTGATGTCATTTGTTACAACCCATCTACGTCTTTTGTTAAAATACTCAAATATATATTAGTGCATTACTGTGTAAGTGATTTGTTCTTTCGATTTAAACAAATGGAACAAGATCAAAATAAAAAGATGAATTGTAAAGAAGAAAAAGTGCTGAACGCACATTTATTGATGAACTTCGAGGAAGGGAGAGTGCGTAATAAAGTGGTGACCTTGAACCATGAAGCTTTCCCGTTGATAGAGGGGTGAAGAGGAGAAGGAGGCAGAGGGAGGAGGGAGGAGGGGGAGGAACGTCTTTGGATCGCTAGGTTACCTATTGACATTTTAAAGTAAAAGAGTTCATATATCGAGAGCGTGCGCTTTCAAGAATTTCTTCTCCCAAGTATCATTATGTTCCAACGAGTTAGATATTCTACGTGTGTTCCCACGGTATAATCCTAACGACCACGTGTGCTATAGTTCGTTTTTATTCTATAAAGTTGAACTTTATTTGTCTCTTTCTGTGTTTGACAATTGAAGAAGAAAACATTGATCCAACGAAATATTTAATCGAAGATATTTTCTATCAACTGCAAAGATGGACGGATATCCGGTGTTACAAATAGTACGATGTCGATTAGGAACGGAGATGGAGATAGACAGCCAGGGTTATCCCTTCCCAATGGCGGCTGCTGCACACTCGCATTCCCACTTACCTCATTCTGCTAACCACACACACTTGCCGAGATCACGTTACACACATCCATGTGGTACGTTCATTAAGTTCTCTGATAAATTTATCAGATAACACTTGATAACTTAATGTTTTATTCAATTAGATTTACATTGATGGTATTATCATAAGGGAACATCAAATATACTTATTCTCTATTAGGGTTTAGAGTAGCTAGAGTCTATTTATAATACGTGAAACCTTCAGTTATTTTTATTATACCTTCGAGGTTACAATCTTAACACTTTTATAATGTGTTTTATCATCTTCCCTATTTAACTTTCTGATAATGTGTTTTATCATCTTCCCTAAACTTACTGTTTTATTCAATTAGATTTGCATTGATGGTATTCTAATTAGGGAACATCAAATATACTTATTCTATTAGGGTTTAGAATACCTAGGGTCTATTTATATTACGTGAAACTTTCAATCATTTTTATTATATCTTCGAGGTTACAATCTTGACACCTTTATAATGTGTTTTCGCGAAAGTAAAAATAAAATAGATAATGCTAATTTATAGAGAGTTACCAAGTAATATTGAAAAGCTTTTTTCAATTCGTTTTTCCTGAACGAACATGTGGGTGCTTTAAAAGAATTTTATTTATGTTAGAAACGTTTGAAACTCACCTCCTAGTTTTTCACGATTCTAAACTATCGAACAAATGGTACAGGTAGCCGATCTTTTCTAAAGGATCCTTTTTTACCGGTCATTGAATCCGGAAAGAAAAAGATCGTCGTAAATTCCTGTTCCCTCGTAAAATCATTTGAAAGAAGAAGGGAAAAGAAGAAAAGCAAAAAAAAAAAAAAGAAAAGATAGAAATAGAAAAAGATTTTCAGGGTGAATGTATCTACCCTAAGAGTTTTTATTTTTTTTATTTTTTTCAAGATTGAAAACGAAAAGAAGAAAAGTTAGGAGGTAAAGGTAAAATGTTTTACAAAAAATACGGGACAGGTATATATATATATATATATATATATATATATATACTATTTTTGTCACGTTTCGTTGGTGAATTCAATTCATCGTCGAAAAATACAAAGACGTTTACGAAAAAGTATAATAATTGAAACTATCACACTCGCATAAATTGCATTTGGAAATGTTACGTCTGGTATGTGTCAGAATATTTTCTCTCTTTCTATAATAGGAATACGATAAAGTTGATTAAAAAGTTTGGCGTCAATGAGTTTTAAGAGAACTCGGTATTGTTCTTGGAATAGGAAGGTGTTAGATATTATTATTCATCATCGAGAGAATTTCCAATGCCGACGTGTACGATTGAATGGTGAGAGAGTAGAACCATTGACAATAGAAATTCAATTCGATAACTACGAGTAAAAGGCAAAGGGATTGACTATATATCCGATTCAATATTTTCAATATATAACATTTGATTTGATATTTCACGTTAATGAAAATTGTTAGATTATGTTGTAAAAAAAAAAAAAAAATATTTGTACAGGTCATACCGGTGAAGGTGGGTGTTGCAAAAAATATGTCGTCCTTTGTTGTCTGTGCGGTGGTCTCAGTGCAGGAGTTGGCAGTGTCTTTTTGGCGGTACACGCTGTCCTTTCAGCCCACACGGCAAGCTTAGCGTTATTCGAGACTGTACCATCTTACATTCCTGGCATAATGGTAAGAGAGACAAAGGTTACACGGTTCTATCTATCTATGGAAATTACGTAAGAAATTTATAAACGCGTTAAATGCATTTCACGGTTTTATTGTCAAAGAAATATTGAGACCTTCGATTGACCTGACCTTCAAACGTGACCTTTTAGCTTTGCGCGAGAATAATTCTATATTCATTTTTATATTTATAAAAAATGACACAGTAAAAATGAATTGGGTGTACATTTTTGATTATTTTATTCTCAGTTGATACTGATGGGATTATTCACGATGCTTTTGGCAAGACGAAAACACAGATACGGACTTTTGGTAAGTATGAAAAATGAAATATAATCAATGAATTGAATCAACGAGAGAGCAAGAAAGAATCGCTTACGATAATCGCCTAAAACTTTTGCAGATGAAAGTTTGCGGTTCGGTTGGGGTTGTATGTGCATTGGTGTGCGTTCTCGTGACAGTTACAACAACAGTGATTCATATGTCTCGATTGCAAGGGCTCAGAGAATGCGTTTATACCGCAAGAGCAAGGTAAATTTCAATGATACGATTTGACAATGAATTTTGAAATTGCACTCATATAAACGAAAAATAATGTATGTGTTTAGGTCGTGTACGTGTTACGGTGCACCGCAATCAAAGGGTGACCCAGGTGTCTTGTTCGAAGGTACTCCACATTGCGAAGCAGTACACGGTGCACTTTACACCTGTTTGCGTGCACTTTTTGGTGTCTCGGTAGCTGGTATACTTGCTTGCATATTCTCATGCATGTTGGTTTATCAATTACTGAGTCACGAAAAGAAAAAGATGTATTGGGAACAGTTGGAACTAAGATGCAGATCGTTGTACGGTCAAGGAGGTCCGGTAGGTCCACCGACCGCTTCCTGCGGATGTTGCAACGATTGCGGTGGAGCCAGTCCATGGTGGGCCCAAACTCCAGGAAATCTCTACACGCCGAATCCCGACTTGGCACCTTCGAGGTAAGTTATCCTCTAATATCAAATCCTACAAGAGATTTCCCCCTTCTACCGTTCACAATAAAAACCGAAAACTTTCTACTTTTGATTTTGTTCAGACGCAACCGACTACTTTTTATTCTGTACCCAACTCGAGCGTCTTTCTTCTTCTTACCTTGGCAAATTCCACGAATATCGTTGAAAGGAGAGTAAGATAAAACTCCTAAACGAGACGGTTCTTCTGGATAAAAATCCCGCTAATGTATGGAATCAATTAAAGTCCGGCATTCCGTTCTCAGTATATTTCTTCGTTCTACGGAAATAAATTATGAACAACGACGATATACACACACACACAGGTTACTATATTGCTAAGAAGAACTTACCAAGCTTTTGCTTGTTGTGTTTCTTGATAATAAAAACGTGAAGTAGACACACATACACACAGTCCTTCCCCTTTCCCTGAGATACACGATCTACTAGTTACCGGGAAATTTTTGCCCACCGGACCCACCACGTGAAGCGTCATACTTTTTCTTCATTTTCATCTCATTTGATTCTATTCTACTCTCGTGTTGCATTTAAATGAGGGACCACAATTCGCGGACTAAGTTGCATCGTTTTATTTCAGACGGTGGCGATTACCTTGGTCCAGACCCAGAGGACCAGCACCAAGTCCTGACTCAAATTACGGATTCCACACGCAAACGAGACAAACAGAGACTAACCCCGACAACACGGCAGGCCCTTACAGCGTCCTCAATTCGCAATCGAGTGGTCCTTATTCAGTTCTGAACACACCCAATGGACCATACACACCGAGTACAGCATCATACAGCGTTTTGGAGACACCTGTACCTTTATGGGGTCCACCACCACCTTACAGCGATCCTAACAGTCCAGCACGTAGACCACAAGTCGCGGATACCAGGCCGAGAATGAGCAAAAGGATCGACAATTTTGACGGAAACGAAGGTTAATTATAATTAATAATATTTTGAAACCCAATCCAAACCCATAGTATAATTCACATAATTTAAATTACAGATCACAGATCGAGATCGACAAAACGTCCATCTGACAATTATGAAAATGCTGAAGAAATTTCTAATAGTACAGACCCGGAAGGTGGAAACGATGGAACGATGAAGGGTAGGAGAGCTAGGAAACCTTTAAAGGGTGTCGAGAACGGTGCTTTTCAACAAGAACCTAATCCTGGTGGTAAACAATCAGAAAGTGAATTATATTTCGGTGACGTTTCTTCCTGTTGCGGTCCCGAAAGTAGTTTCTATGATTTAGCTGTTGAGAAAGAAGGTAATTGTTTTATTAATTCTTTGAGAAATAAAAAGTTCAACAATTTTGATCAATGAAGTAACAATTCTCGTTGATATTTTGATTGAAGGTGCCAAACACTCGGAGGGAGTGGATTATTTAGCAGCTCGTTTGGGCAAAAGACAATTATCCAAACGATCAAGACTTCCTCTTCCCTTACCCTCAGACGGTGGTGACATACCGTCCGACAGTTATGCCAACAGTGACGAACCTAGAAACACTAGGGGACCCTTTTTAGCACCTGATGCTCAATACGAAGTCATCCAGCAAGCTCGTTATACGTATTACGCTCCAAAAGAAGACGAAGAACTTGATGAAGAAGCTGCTACGTCGAGTTACTTTAGAGAAGAGGATACTGATCGTCCAAGGGAAAGGGATTACAGGGACTATCATAGCGGTCAGGAAGAGGAAACACCTCAGTGTTGTTTGAGCGACTCCACGACTTTGGATTCTGGCTGGCAGAGTGGTGAACAACAGCAATCGGATGATAATGTTAGACCAGTTAACGTGTAAATCGATTGTTTTTTTCCTTTGGAAATAGAAAATCGATGTAGGAAGAGCTGTAGGAATTTCCTCATACTTCAAGAACAATTAACAGTCACCCTTTCGATTTTTCTGAGACTGAAATGACGTTGCCATAATATGAAATTATATTTAAAAGGCCAAGAAGACGCGATATATATTGAAATATTCATTTCTTTTCTTGTTTTCGGATATAAGATGAGATTTTTTATAATGTGGTTAACAAAAATATTATTTAGAGAAAGATAGAGAGAGAAAGAGAGAGAGAGAGAGAGAGAGAGAGAGGTTTATTATAGGATAGTTTAAATGACAATTTTTTTTTCTCTCTCAACGATGTCGTTCATGGTTGCTCGTAGTATAATTGTTAATAGTATTTTAAGTATACTATAATCGTAAGAACACAAATTACGCCATTTATTTTCTTGACGAACATTATAATATTAATATTAATATTAATATTAATATTAATATTAATAATAATAATAATAATAATAATAATAATGATAGAGTAATTATCCACGAACGGAAGAAAGAGGCTTGTTGTTGAGTACGATGCAGTAGCAACGAATAATTCACATGCAAATTTGAATGAACATTTTGAAAACTATAATTAGAAAAATTATTGCAATGGGTTTTATTCGGTGCATGTATATGTATGTATGCACGTATGATGTATGTATGTATGAATGGGTGTATGTCATTTGTTGGACTTGTCCTACGACGATTTAATTTTCGTCGTTTATTCTAAAGAAAGAAAAAAAAAAACCAACGTCCATGTACAAAAGTGTGCTTTACTCTTGCCAATAATATTATTAATAATCTTGTTAGATGTTTTTTTAGCCTTATACATTTTCGATGAGCGCTAATTAATTCATTCATTAATTGTTGTCCATCGTAACGTTGTTATCTATAACGTTAATAATAATTATTATTATTATTATCTCGTTATTTAAGATGAATTATTAGTCCAAAATATCTTTCGTATTTTTTATTTTATTTACACGCGCGTACACTCGTTTTTTTTTTTTTTTTTTTTTTTTAAAGTTCCTTTCCTCTAAACAATTTTAAATTACAACGATAATAATTCACATTTATATTCCATCAATTTGTAATTAAAATTTATTTCTGTTAGATTAATCAAACTACTTTATGCATAATTATTACACAAACAATTCAGGTGGACCAAGGATAGATTAAAAAAAAAAAAAAAAAAGAAAAAAAGATCGTTGTTTAAAATCAATAGGAAAAGTAGATAGAAAAAAATCGAATGTTTGCGTTATCGATTTGTCATTTTTCATCGCAAAAAAAAAAAAAGAAAAATAAAAAATAGACAAAGTTAACAAACATAAATGACATAATTTTATATCGCAAAGAATAATTGAGAGAACTTAGATAAAGGAAAAATAGTGAAAAGTAAGCGATGTGAGAAAGAATTGCATAATTTTCAAAAATAATAATAGTTTAAAACGTTGTTTACTCGATGAAGAAGTGTACCTTAACTTAAGAAAAAGAGAAAGGAAGACGTATGTATACATATATACTAGGGGTGCCCCGCCACGCGTTGCTGTGGCTCACAATCAGTCCGATACACACGTCTTTAAGTAAACGAATTATCTTATACCGCCATCTGTTAGAATTATGACTCTTTGTTAATAAACAAATGATTCGCAATAAAATACTATTGCGATTATAAATTGAGATATAAACTATCCTATCTTTCAAGTTGGATGAAACTGCACACAGTGTGCAAAATTTTATTAAAATCGGTTCAGTAGTTTAGGAGTCCATTACGGACAAACAACGTGACACGTAATTTATATATATTAAGATATTATAATATCTTATAATATATGGTGAAACAATGTAATAAAAAAAGAAAGAACAAACAAACAAAAAATGATATAAAATGGAATTTTCAATGAGACCACAAATATATATAGGAAAAGTATAATAATATAGATAAAAAGGAATGCATGATGATCACAAAGTTGATTGGCGTTGTCATTATTTGCAATTATCATTTTTCTTTTCTTTTGAACTCTTGTGTCCCTTATAGTATTGACCAATATCAGATTATTATAAGATTTCAAAACGGGGTCTAGCTGAAGCAAAACACTGTCGCAATGGTATTAAATTACAACAAGAAAGGAAAACACAAAACCTGGCACACGTTATCAAGTTTATTGGAATCGATTTTATTAAGATGGAATCAAAAGTTTATAAACTGAATAATAATTGATTTTTTTTTTTTTTACAATATTTATTTTGAAAATATTCATATTAAAAAATTGCACAAACTTTTGATTCACCCTAACATAAAAAAAATGTACGTATTAACACTAAATTTACGGACTGTGAACCAACTTTAATCTGAGGCTTGGGACAAAACTAAAATATTATTTTGAAAATCAAGCAATATATTGGTTTGAACCTAACATCCGTAAATGTAACGTTAATATATATATATATATATATATATATATATATATATATATATATATAATTAAATGTAATGGTAAATAGAAATTACAGCGTTTCAAAAAAGTCTCATTAAATTTGAGCATGGAACGTTTAATTAACGAGATCGCAAGCCACTGATAAAGTTATCCCAAAGAGTTGTTGTTCAACATTCAACATTGGTTAGAATAAGAAAAAGAAGAAGAAGATTGTTAGAGTCTAGACACGTTCTTTTCTCGAGCTAATGCTCGTTACAAATAATTAGCATCGTTTAACCATACACGAGTTAAGCCAGACGTACCGGTACGTTAGTTTTATTTTAGTTCCAATGCATACTTATAATCAGACACACCTATTACGTAAGTATAACTTAGCTTACTTTAAAGAATATTTTAACTAGTCTATATTTGCTAACAAATAATTAGTTGATATATATATATCTAAGTATAAGATAACTTAAGTATTGTATAATAGTAAATTATGCAACTAGTGCGAGAAGTTGTCGTTTGAGCGACTCGCTTCACTCGTGCGCTCAACTTCGCTCTCGTGGGTAATCGACAATTTCGCACTAGTTGCATATACTATTTTTTATTACGAATGCGGGGACATATTTGGTACATAATTGGGGTCCAGGGGCAGAGCCCCGGCGGGGGGCTGGGGGGGGAGTCCCCTCTTTCCACAAAACAATATTGAAAAAGTTAAAAAATCATAAAATATAATAAATGAAGAACTACATATTGATCTTATCGCTTACAATATTGACACTTTGATTGTCTTTTTTTAATCGTCAATTTGCATCTGGTAAGTATAATTTGAGTACGAAAAGTAAACTTTTCGCATTCAAATTGAAAAGTAGGCAAACAGCGTCTTTTCGACTCCAATAGCGACCGCAAAGATAGTACTTTTTCCGCATGAGTAATAAAAGATATATATACCCTGTGATAATAACTTATCTAAGTATTTTAACATTTTACCCCAATCGGTAAGTATTAACGCACGAATAATCATAATAATTTGAGATCGCGGTAATAATAATAATAATAATAATAATAATAATAATAATAATAATAATAATAAAGATAAGTCTCTTTTAAATCTTCACATGGTATAATTACGTGCAAGATCCTTCGACGATTCTGAGTGCAGCTTGATTTGCTAAAAATCTTTCAACCCTTTCACGAAATTCTCTGTTAGATTCTGGTAAAGGAAGTCTAGGTGCGACGCTTTGAATCGAACTGATAGGATTGATATTTAATCCATTTTCTGATAATCCACGATCGTGATCCAATATATCAGGTCTAGGTGGTGGAGGATGTTTTCTTTTGCATACAGCAGAATTAATCCTTTTCGAATCGGCTATTGTAAGATTGTTGTTGCCATAATCAATATCTGGAAATCGGTTCATCATACCGCGTAAAGCTATTTTAGCACTGAGCAGGGACCAAAAGATTTCCAGAAGTGAAGATAACAAAACATTGACTGTAAGTAAAGTTTCCGTTTGCGATGATTCTCGTTGACGACCTCTGTTATGCCAGAATGATAAAACCTTGTTCTCATTATGAAGTGAAACGTATCGTTGATTGCTTTTATTTTCCATTTGATTTTCCAACTCGTTACCAGAGATCGGCATACTTCTTTCGTATAATATCGAACTCTCTCCTTTGAGATCATCGTAAACGAGTCCCCCCTTGTCACTTTCGTTAACAAATTTCTCCATTTTCATAGTGGTTTCTTCGATGATACCGGTTACATTATTGTTATCATTATTATTTAAATTATTATCATCGATAACGATAAATGGTTGTTGTTGTTGTTGTTGATCGTTCGAGCTAGTACGAAGAATTTCTTCCATAGACAAAATAGAAGCGTTACTTGTTTCAGCTACCGCAGCTATGTCGAGGATAGTCACGACGAAACAAATTATGGCTGCCAGTAATGAGAAAATATTTGCGGAAAAAAATATCGTTATGTTACGATCGATGTACCATCTTCTCCAAGCGAGTAATCCCGTGACGAACGGTACCAAACATGCCACGGATAAAACAGCCCCTTGAACCGACATAGCTAGGGTTCCTAAAAGGAGGGAAAGTGCGCCTAATCCAAAATGTACCAAAGCAAGACCACCCACTGTTGATGCTGAATAACGTCGTTCTGAAGGATACAAAGACGAAAGTGCTGGTTTTGTTTTCACTTTTATCACGTAAACGTTCTCCATCGTGTCTTCTTTTTTAATTTGATCTTACGTGGGTTAGTAAGAAATAGTTTATGATTATATTTTACGTTAACCCAAACAACGACACAACCAATCGGATAAGGATTTCACAGAGGCGTAACGATTTCTTAATACTTCAACGATTTTTCCATTATTTTTTTTTCTACTTCTTCCTTAATTAACGTTATGCAAGCGCAACCGATTGTCTAGCGACGCGATTATTCTCAAAGTCATCTCTCTTTTTTATTATTTTCTTGATTCTTTACAAACTTGGTTTAACATTTCGACACAGACGTTCTTTTTCCAACGGATATTCCGTAAACAAATTGTTTATTATGTTTATTATGTTGCACACGATCTAAAACTCTCACTTTCTATTTTTCTGCAATCTCGTAACTTCAACCTCCCCCTCTTGTTTAAAATAGTATTATACTTAGAACGAAATAAGAGTTAATAACGTAGGAATTAATTATGATAATTAATATTACGTTAAACGTTAAGAGTGATCTATCACGT